GCCGAAATTTTGCGTGAAGACTCGAGCCGAAGATTGGGGGGAAGATTTAAGCCGAAGGTTTGTGTGAGATATAAGCAGAAGATTTGGGTGAAGATTTACGCCGAAGATTTGGGCGAGGGTTTAAGCCGAGTATTTGGGTGAACATTTCAGCCGAAAGTTCGGGGGGACACATGTAAGCCGAAGACTGGAGTGACGATTTAAGCCAAATATTTGGGCGAAGACTTAAGCGGAAGCTTTGGGTGAACATTTGAGCCGAAGATTTGGGGGAAGACCTGTGCCCGAGATTTGGCTGAAGAGTTTCAGCCGAAGATTCGTGTGGATATTTAAGCCAACGATTTGGGTGAAGATTTCGGCCGAGTAGTTGGGTGAAGATTTAAGCCGAAGATCTGGGTGAATTTTTAAGCCGATGGTTCGGGTGAAGATTCCAGCCGGAGATTTGGGAAACGATTTAAGCCGAACATGTGGGTGACGATGTTTTGACCGAACTTTTGGGGGGAAGATTTTCAGCAGGCGCTTTGGGTGAATATTTAAGCTGGAGATTTTTGGGGCGATTTCAGCCGAAGATTTGGGTGAAGATTTCAGCCGAAGATCTGGGTGAATATTTGAGCCGAAGATGTGGGTGAAGATTTCATCGGGCGATTTTGGTGACGATTGAAGCAGAAGATTTGGATAAAGATGTGCGAAGATTTGGGTGCAGAGCTAGGCAGACGATTCGGATGTCGATTTCAGCCGAAAATGGTGGTACATCTTTTCGCAGAAGATTTGGGATAGGATTTAAGCCGAAGATTTAGGGTGGCGGTTTAAGCCGAAGATTTGGGTGAAGGTGTCGGCCGAAGATTTGGGTGAGATTTGAACCGGAGGTCTGGAGGAATATATAAGCCGAGTATTTTGGGTGAGTAGGTGAGCTGAAAATTTGGGAGACGATTTAAGCCGACGATGTGGGAGACGATCTAAGCCGAAGATTAGGGTAATTATTTGAGCCGAAGATTTGGGTGAAGATTTGAGCCGAAGGTTTGGGTGAAGATTCAAATCGAAGATTTGGTGAGCATTTATACCGAAGATTCGGAGGACGGCTCAAGCCGAAGGTTTGAGTGAAGATTTAAGCCGAAGATTTCGGGGGGCGATTTCAGCCGACGAGGTAGGTGAAGATTTAGGCCGAAGGTTTTGGGGAAGATTTGCGCAGAATTTTTGGGTGAATATTCCCAGGTGAAGATTTGAATCGAGGATTTGGATGAAAAGTTAAGCAGGCGATTCGGCTGACGATTCAAGTTGGGCCTGGGTGAATCTTTAATTCGAATCTTGGGAAAAGATTTACGCCGAAGATTTGAGTGGGTACTTCAGCTGAAGATCCAGGTGAAGATTTAAGCCGAAGGTTTGGGTGAGATTTAAGCCGAAGCTCTGGGGAAAGATATAAGCCGAATGTTTTGGGTGAGTAGTTGAGCCGATTATTTGGAAGGCGATTCAGGCCCGCGATTTGGGAGACGATCCAAGACAAAAATAATTGGGCAACTATTTGAGCCGAAGATTTGGGTTAAGATTTCCGCAGATTTTGGTGCAGATTCACGTCGAAGATGTGGTAAACATTTAAACCGAAGATTTCGTGGGACGGCCCAAGCCGAAGATTTGGGTGAATATTTAAGCCGAAGATTTGGGGGGCAATTTAAGTCGAAGAGGTAGGTGAACATTCGCGTCGATGGTTTAGGGGAAGATTTGCGCAGAAGATTCAAACCGAGGGTTTTGATGAACAGTTTATCAGGCGATTTGGGTGACGATTCAAGTTAAGCATTGGGTGAATCTTTAATTCGAAGATTGGGTGAAGATTTACGCCGAAGATTTGAGTTAGCATTTAGGCTGCAGATTCGGGTGAATATCAACGCTGGAGATTTGGGGATATCTAAGCCGGAGAGTTGGGTGAGGCTTTACGGCGAAGGTTTGGAGATGATTTCAGCCGAAGATTTGATTGAATATTCAAACCGAAGATTTGGTGAATATTTAAACCCTCGATGTGTGTGAACATTTAATCCGACGATTTGAGTTGAGATTAGGGCCGAAAGTTCAGGAGGAGATTAAAGCCGAAGCCTTGAATGAAGATTTGAGCCGAAGATTCCGGTGCAGATTTCAACCGGAAAATTTGGGGTGCAGACTCAAGCGGAAGATTTGAGCGAAGATTTAAGCCGAAGATTTGGGCGCATATTTAAGCCGAAGATTCCTGGGTGAAGCCGAAGGTTTGGGTGAATATTTAAGCCGAAGAGTTTGTGCAGTAGATTTGGATGAAGATTAACGCCGGACATTCGGAGTAATATCTAAGCCAATGGTTTGGGTGGAATTTGAAGCCGAAGATTCGGGTGACAATAAAAAATCGAAAATTGGTGGATGATTTACGCCGGAGATTTGGGCGAAGATTTTAGCCGAAGATTGGTGTGATATTTAGGCCGAAGTTTTGGGGTAAGGTTTAAGCCGAAGATTTGAGTGAATATTCAAGCCGAAGCTTTGAGTGACGACTCAAGCCGAAGATCTGGGTGAAGATTTGAGCCAAAGAATTGGATGAATATTCAAGCCGAAGGTTTGGGTGAAGATTTAAGCCCAATATTGGGGTGAAGATGTAAGTCGAAGGTTTGGGGGGGAACTTTGCGCCGCAGATTCGGGTGAAGACTTAAGATGAAGAGGCTGGTGCAGATTTGAGCCGAAGATCTGGGTGAACTTTTAAGCCGACGGGTTTGGGATCATATTTAAGCCGAAGATTTGAGTAAATATTCAAGTCGAAGATTCGTTTGCAGGTTTAAGCCGAAGATTTGTGAATATTCAAGCCGAATGCGTGGGTGAAGAGTTATACCGAGAATTTGAGCGACGGTTTGAGCCGAAGATTTAGGGAACATTTATGAAGAAGGTTTTGTTGAAAACTTGCGCCGGAGATCTGGGTGAACACTTGAGCCAAGGAGTGTGGGGTACTATTTAAGTCGACGTTCTGGGGAAATGTTCGAACTGAATCTGTGGGCGAAGACTTAAGCCGAAGATTTGGGGGACGATTTAAGCCAAAGATTTGGGTGAAGACTTGGGCCGACGATTTGGGTGAATATTTACGCCGACGACTCGAAGGAAGTTTTTGACTGGAGATTTGGGTGAAGATTTACGCCGAAGACTTGGGTGACAACTTTTCCGAAGATGTGGGGGAAGATTTGAACCGAATATTTGGGAACGATTTAAGACGCATATCCAGGTGAAGATTTAAGCCAGAGATTTTGTGTGAAGATCTAGGCCGAAGATTTTGGTGAAGATTCAAGCTGAAAGTTCGGGTGTAGAATTAAGCAGAGGAGTTTGGGGAAGATTTAAACCGAAAGTTCGTGTGAAGATTTAAGCCGAAGTTTTGGGCGCAGATTTAAGCCGAAGATTTGGGTGAGAATATTGATGCGAAGATCTGGGTGAAGATTTGAGCAGAAGATTTGGATGAAGATTTCAGCCGAAGATTGTGGTGATGATGTCAGTCGAAGATTTGGGCGAATATTTACGCCGAAGATTTTGTGGAATTTTGAAGCCGCACATTGGGGTGTAGTTTTATGAATAAGTTTTGGGTCAAGATTTAGGCCGGAGATACGGATGCATATTTAAGCAACAGATTTGTGTGAAGATTTCGGCCGGATATTTGGAAAATCTTTAAGCAGAAGATGTGGGTAAAGACTTTCTCCGAAGATTAGTCTGAAAATTTAAGCCGGAGATTGGGGTCACGATTTATGCCGAAGATTTGGGTGCATAGTTAAGCCCAAGATGTTAGTTATGCCGAAGATTTGGGTGAAGATTTACGCTGAAGGATTTGGGGGCGATGTAAGCCGAAGGTTTGGGATGCAGATTTAAGCCGAAGATTTGGGTGAAGATTTCGGCTGAAGATTTGGGTACATATCAAGCCGACGATGCGGGTGAAGTTGTAAACCGAAGATTTGGGTGAAGATTCTCGTAGAAAATTTGGGTGAATATCAAGCCCGAGACCAAGGAGGAGGAGGTTGAGGGGGAGGAGGACGAGGGAGGAAGAGGAGGAGACGAAGGAGGAGACCAAATGGGGAAAACATAATCCATTTGATTCGATAATACATGGTCGCTGTCTAGGTAGCAGCGTCTCTCTCGCGCTCGCGCAAACATCGGTAGATACGCCAGTATTGGTGGTTTCGCCAACTGGCCCCAGCCAGAATCGGTGGATACGTACCGTCCCATGAGCCACGTGCACTTGTTCATACTGTTGCATGACTTCCCGACACGCTTTTTTTGAACATGGCCGTACAAGCGCCGTGCGGTCTGCATCCTTAGCCTGAGCAGGAGACGAGGAGAAGGTGAATGAGGAGGAGGAGGAGGAGGAGGAGGAAAAGGAGGAGGAGGAGGACAGGGAGAAGGAGGAGGAGGCGGAGGAGGAGGAGGGAATAATGTTCATCATAGTGCAACCATTACTACTATTACTAGGACGACTACGACTCATAATACGTATGGTCGTAAGAATACGGCGAGTAATAATAACACTAATACTACGAATCATACTAAACATCATAATGGTACTACTATTGATAAGCAGAAAAACATCATACTATTAGAAATAAGATTAAGTTGGTTTTCCGTAGTATTTGTTTTTGTTCTATTAGTTCATTATTCTCATTCGTAATACTGTCATTCGATCGTATCAGTGAGCAGGAATCTAATATTAGTCTTACTAAGAGTAAATATGAAACTAGTTTCGATAGTGATGCTATTAATGCTGCTAGTGATACTGGTGGAAGTACGAATATTTTACCTTATATTTATGCTAGTGACAGCAAAACTACTTTTACGACTCATATTAGTAATATTCATACGAATGCGAAACAGAGGACGAGGACGAGGATGAGACAGACGAAGACGAGGACGAGGACGGGGAAGGAGGAGGAACATAAGGACGAATAGGATGGGGACGAAGAGGAGGAGGAGGACGTGGACGAGGACGAGCAGGAGGAAGAGGAGGATGATGAGGAGGAGGATGCGAGGAAAGACGAGGCAGAGGAGGCGCAGCTGCTGTGCTCGGGCCCTTTTTACCGACCTCTCTTGGGACACGGGCGAGAGTTCCGCCCGTTTTGCCGCTTGCGCGCCGGGGGCTGGAAAGGAGTTCCGCCCGATTTCCTGTTCTCCTCTTCTCGTCGCGCTCCCCCTTCCCTTCCTTTGATAGTTATCCCACTGTGGTCGCAGAGGGGTCCGGGTTGGGGTCGGGAGGGATCGATCTCTTGATATAGCGAGGTTTCGATATCTCGATGTGTTGACATCGTGGGGGCGGCCGGGCGGGGACTCGATTCTACAGGCTCACGCCCCATTTGCCGACCCCTTGATGTAGTTGGGGACTTAGTGGGCCCCGGATACGGCAGGGCCGTTTTTTCACCGTTTCCGAGAAAGTGTCCCTTGAAAATGGAAACGGCAAAAACACGGCGACCGGAAACGGCAAAAACACGGCTCCAGGATTGGAGCCGGAGCCGGAACCGCTCAAAAAACGGTTTGGAACCGGTAAAAAAACGGCGTCGGAACCGGCAAGAAAACGGCAAAACGGAACCGGTAACAAAAACGGCCCTGTCGTTTCCAGGGCCCACTAAGGTCGGGGACTTTACCGTCTTGGAGGCCATCTTGGCCCGCGTGTTGGACTCCATCTGTGACTGTTTGGGGATGTACTGGGGTCATATGTGAGGTCGTATTGAGTCATCTTGGCCGCTTAGGACAACACAGACAGACAAGTCCTCGGGGAGTGGTGTCACAAGCCGAGGACCCCGCAAGGGGTCGGTGGATTCCTTGGGAGCGGTATTGCCGAGCCGTGGCGACGAGTCCCACGAGGAATCAAGCAAAAAACCTCGATCTTCTAAGTCTGAACGCGAATTCGACGAACGCGTGATGACGATCAAGAGCATAATAATTGCGGCCGCGTAGAAGAAAATGACGACGACGGGGCGTCTTGGGGCCAAAGGCTGGAAGTTCCGTTTGGGTTTCCTTCTGGGCCTTCTCTTGAGCCCGTCTTGCTATCTTTGGCCGTCTTCGGGCCTTCTTGGGCCGTCTTTGAGCCCTTTTCGGGGCTTCTTGGGCCGTCTCGGACGTGGTGGACAAAAAAACAAGATGCGCGTCTGCTAACACATGGGTGCTCCGCTGGGAATGGGGCGATGTTTGCTTCTTGGGCGTCTCAGAGGCGTAGTTTGGGGTCCCGCGGGAGGGGGATTATGGTCAGGAGGAAAAGAAACACACAGACACAATTAGTCGTCCACTCCCAGGAAAATATGCAAAAATATGGGAAGTGGTGGGGAAGACAAAAACCCAGAAAATATGGGAAAATATGGGGGATATTTTTATTTGTGTGTATTTATTTGTGTGTTCCAGTTCCCCTTCATATGGTCGGGTGTAGCCAGGGCCCCAGGTAAGGGGGGCCCGGTTAGCGGTGGGGCCCTGGAGCCCGTGAGCTGGCCAGGCTCGTCAAGCCAGGTCTGCCGCAGCTGCTGTTTTTTCGGGGGGCGGCAATTCCGGTTAGTGGAACGGGGCGGGGGGGGGGCTTCCCCCAGTACACATCGCTAAACCAGGTCTCACTCAACCCAGTTCTGCCAACGCCCGATATGGGGGGCGGGCATTTCCCAGGCCTGGAGAGCCTCAAAGCGTCGGCGGATTTTCCTTGTAAGTTTGGGAACCCGCACTGCGGACAACGTCACGACATCGGAACTTCCAGGGTAGTCAAGGGGCTCTTCGGTAGCAGCGCATGGTAGCCCTGTATGTCCTCCATATTCCGTTTACAGAGTGCACTGGCATGCGCTAGCGCCTGGTAGTCGACGAGAACGCGCCGACGTAGCGTCGATGAGCGTCGGTTAGCGTCGATTTAGCGCCGACTCGCATCGATTCGCGTCGATCCGCGTCGATCAGCGTCGATCAGCGTCGATTCGCAAAAGCTAGCAAGATGACACTGGAAGCTCCCATGCCCAGAGATCCAACGTATTGAAAACTTCAAGACGGATGTTCTCGCAGTTTTCAGCCTCCAGAGGCCCTCCTTCGCCAGGCCTCAGGGCCGTCAAACAAAGATGCAGGATGACAAGCTGGTATCCGAAAGTGCGTTGAGACTTCCGGGGGGCCCGCATTGACATTATCTTGGCGAAGGATCCAACCATATGCACTTGTGGGTCACGCGGTTGTGGACATCGTTTTCGGTGGCGCTCCCTATGGGGCCACGGAACGTGTGATGGGTGTGCCGAAATAGGCGGGGGGGCCGCACGTTGATTTTGCCCCTGGCGCCATCGGTGGGGCGCTATGGGGTATGGCATTCCGAGACGTGGGAGGGATGGGCCGAAACGGACATGTGAACGGCTGAGGCAGGGATGGGGGAGGGCGGCGGGAGGGAAGACAGGAGGCGCGGGGCAAAGACTCTGTTCAGAACGAGGACCGAACACCACGGGATGGTTGGGACAAGTCCAGACATTGGATCTCTTGGTGTGTTGCAAAAGAGGTGGGGACGAAAAGGTACCGATACCGCCACTCCCCGGACCTGTTCCGATGTGTGCTTTGACCGCGGTGTCGTGGCGAATCTGGCCGCGGCGACGAGGGCCTCCCAGGAGGCCCAGACAGGCGACAACGAGGGGGAGGGGGAGCGGTATGGGTGCCTCAGCCTCCTCCTCCTCGAGAGAGGGGGGGTCGCCGCACGCAGCCGGCAGGCCCGCGTCTCAAGAGACCCCCAAGGGGGCCCGAAGAGGCGGTGTGGGGATTGGGCTGCTTGGGTGTGGGGTGGGGGTTGGGCTGGCCCCAGGGCCTTCAAGAGGGCTCCCGAGAGGGCCTCAGGAGATCAAAAACAGTGTTTGTTTCCAAGGGTTTTGCAAGGTTGTTGGGGTTCTTGCTTTTTCGGGTCCAGAAGGGCCACAGACAGCCCAAGAGGTCCCAAAGGCCCCCAAAGGGCCCGAGAACTAACCAAGGTGGCCCCCCAGACGGCCCCAGAGGGCCCCACAACGGCCCAATGGGGGCCCCAAGACGGCCCGACGAGAGCCCCAAGACGGCCCCAAGAGGCTCCCAAGAGGGCCCGAAGAGGAAGTGTGGGGACTGGGCTGCTTGGGTGTGGGGACTGGGCTGGCCCCAAGTCGGCCCAAGAGTCCCAAAACGGTCCAAAAGGGCCACCACAGGACTCCCAAGAAGCCCCAGTGTCGCCAAATAACATAATGTTTTCCCACAGCGAGCGGTGATGTAACAAGCTCTGAACACCAAGACTCCCAAGAGCGCGGTGACGTAAAGAGCTCTGAACAGCAAGGCTCCCCAGAGCGAGCGGCAACTCAAAGTCTCTGAACACCTGGGTTCCTAACTGAGAGCGGTAACGCAACAAGCTCTCAACGCCAAGGCTCCCAAGAGCGAAGGGTGCCATGAGCCCTTTCGGGCAAGTTCCTGCAGCACTCTTCCCGTTCCCGTGCCGGCCCAGGTAACGGAAAGAGCGAGGTACGAGTGATGACGTTTTGGTGTGGGCGAAGCCCTAAAGGGAGGAGTTCCAGGGGAGGGGGGTAGCGCGAGGGAATGAGTGTTAATGGCCGTTTTCGGTTTTCCCTCGGGTTTTTGCATGTTTTGTTTTTCGGGTTCCCCCCCAAGACGGCCCAAGAGCGTTCCAAGAGAGCCCAAGACCGCCCAAGACGGCCCAAGAGGCTCCCAAGAGGCCTCAAGAGGCGCCCAAGGGGCGTCCCAAGAGGGCCCCAAGAGGCCAAAATCATTGTTTTCCCTTCGGAAGGCGTGTATTTTGTAGCATGTACGGCTTTTCGGCTTGCACGGCGTCGACGATGGCCCAATAGGCTCCCAAGACCGCCCCACGACGGGCCAAGAGGCTCTCAAGAGGCCCCCAACACGGCCCAAGAGGGCCCCAAGACGGCCCAAGAGGCGCCCAAGACGGCCCAAGAGGGCCCCAAGACGGCCCCAAGACGGGGACCACGAACCGAAAAGTCTAGCCTTTCGCCCCAAGAAGCTCCCAGGAGGCCTCAAGAGCCCCCCTAAGAAGCCCCAAGAGGCCCCCAAGAGGCGTCGCAAGAGGCCACCAGGAGGCCAACATTATTGTTTTCCTAGAGGAAAATGTGCATTTTTAGCATACACGGCCTTTCGGCGTCCCCGGCGTTGAAGACCCCAAAGACTTCCCCCAGGCGGCCCAAGAGGCTCCCAAGAGGCCCCCCAAACGGCCCAAGAGGGCGCCAAGACGGCCCAAGAGGCGCCCAAGACGGCCCAAGAGGGCCCCAAGACGGCCCCAAGAGGGGGACAACGAACCGAAAAGTCTAGCCTGTCGCCCCAAGAAGCTCCCAGGAGGCCCCCAGAGCCCCCCAAGACGCCCCCAGGGGCCCCCAAGAGGTTCCCAAGAGGCTTCCACAAGGGCTCCAAAAGGGCCCCAATAGGACTCCCAAGAAGGCCCAGAGACGCCAAATAGAGACCGCTCGGTAACGCAAAAATCTCTTCACATCAGGGCTCCCAAGAGCGAACGGTGACGTAAACAAGCTGATAAGACCAAGGCTCCCAGCAGAGAGCGGTGACGTAACAAGGTCCTGACACCAAGGCCCAGCCAAGGCTCAGGAACGGGCGGCAACGCAACAATCTCTGAACAACAATGCTCCCAAGAGCGAGGGGTGACGTAACAAGCTCTCAACGCCAAGGCTCCCAGTACGAACGGTGGTGTGAGTAATGTCGGTTTCTGTTTTTGAAGCGCTCTTTCCGTTTCTGTGCCGGGCCAGGTAACGGAAAGAGCGAGGTACGAGTGATGACGTTTTGGTGTGGGCGAAGCCCTGAAGGGGGGGGGGTCCACGGGGGGGGCGTAGGCCGATCAAACGGGTGACGGAAAGAGCGAGGTACGAGCGAGTGACGTTGAGCAGCGGGCGAAGCCCTTCTAGGGAGGGGTCCATGGGAGGGGCGAGGCGGAGGGGCGGGGTAACGGAAAGAGCGAGGTACGAGTGATGACGTTTTGGTGAGGGCGAAGCCCTAAAGGGAGGTGTTCCAGGGGAGGGGGGTAGCGTGCGCATTTGGGCTCTAATGGCCGTTTTCGGGTTTTCCCTTGGGTTTTTGCATGTTTTTCGGGTTCCCCCCCAAGGCGGCCCAAGAGCGCTCCAAGAGAGCCCAAGACCGCCCAAGACGGCCCAAGAGGCCCTCAAGAGGCCCCCAAGAGGCGCCCAAGGGGCGTCCCAAGAGGGCCCCAAGAGGCCAAAATCATTGATTTTCCAGAGGAAAGCGTAAATTTTTAGCATATGCGCTTTGTCGGCTTTCACGGCGTTGACGACGGCCCAAGAGGCCCCCAAGACCGCCCCAAGACGGCTCAAGAGGCTCCCAAGAGGCCCCTGTTTCTGAAGCGCCTTTTCCGTTTCCGTGCCGGCCCAGGTTTAATGGCCGTTTTCGGGTTTTCCATCGGGTTTTTGCATGTTTTTCGGGTTCTCACCGTTTCCGTCTCAGAAGGGCTCTTGACGGCCCAAGAGGCCCCAAAGATCGTCCCAAGAGGCCTCCGAGACGCCCCAAGAGGCGCCCAAGAGGCGCCCCCACAGGCCCCCAAGAGGCCAAACTCATCGATTTTCCATAGGGAAACGTACATTTTTAGCATATCCGGCATTTCGGCTTTCACGGCGTTGACGACGGCCCAAGAGGCTCCCAAGACCGCCCCACGACGGCCCAGGAGGCTCCCAAGAGGCCCCAAAACGGGCCAAGAGGGCCACCCACTACAGCGTTTCGTGGCCCCATAGAGAGCTGCACGCAGGCCTCAGTGGCGGTGTCCGCATGCAGTTCCCCCACCCAGTGCAGCGTTTCGTAGCCCCATCGGGGGCTCCACCGCAGGCATCAGCGGCGGTGTCCGCATGCGGTTCCTCCGCCCAGAATAGCGCTTCGTGGCTCCATAGGGAGCTCCACCGAAGGCCTCAGTGGCGGCGCCCGCATGCGGTTCCTCCGCCCAGAACAGCGTTTCGTGGCTCCATAGGGAGCTCCACGATGGCCTCAGTGGCGGTGTCCGCATGTGGTCCCCATCCAGTGCAGCGTTTCGTGGCCCCATAGGGAGCTCCACCGAAGGCATCAGTGGCGGTGTCCGCATGCGGTTTCCTCACCCACATGCGGATCAGCCACACCCAGTGCAGCTTTTCGTGGCCCCTTCGAGGAGCTCCACCGAAGGCATCAGTGGTGGTGTCCGCATGCCGTTCCCCCGCCCAGAGTAGCGCTTCGTGGCCCCATGCGCAGCTCTTCCGCATGCCTCCGTGGCGGTGTCCACACGCGGTTCCCCCACCCAGCACAGCATTTTGTGGCTCCATATGGAGCTCCACCTGAGGCCCCAGTGGCGGTGTTTGCATGCGTCTCCCCCGCTTAGTGCAGTGTTTCGTGGCCCCACAGGAAGCTCCACCGAAGGCATCAGTGGCGGCCCCGCCCCATGGTGGGTTCCACCTAACGCCCCAGTGGCAGCGCCCACGCGGCGGCCCCGCCCCATATCGGCACACCCTTGGCATACCTCATGGCCCCGTGAGGAGATCCCCCGAAGGCGACACCCGCAACGACGCTACTCACAACTGCATGTGTTTGGGTCCTTTGCCAGGATCATCGTTTTGTTGTTTTTCCGACACATCCTGTGGTGTTGGGTCCTCGTTTTCAAGAGACATTGCCGCGCGTCTTCTTCCCCCCCCCGTCTCTTCCCCTCTTCCCATCCCTGCCTCTGCCCTCCGCATGCCCATGTCGGCACATGCCTCGCACGTCACGTGGCTCCAAAAGGAGCCCCACCGAAGGCTCCGGTGTCAGGGTTCGCATGCGGTTCCGCGCCCATGTCGGCACATGCCTCACGTTTCGTGGCTCCAACAGGAGCTCCACCGAAGGCCCCACTGGCAGGGTTCGCATGCGGTTTCCCGCCCATTTCGGCACACCCATCATACGTTTCGTGGCTCCATAGGGAGCTCCATCGAAGGCCCCAGTGGCAGGGTTCACATGCGGTTCCTCACCCATTTCGGCACACGCATCGCACGTTTCGCGGCCTCATTTGGAGCTCCACCGGATGCCCGGGTGGCAGGGTTCGCATGCGGCTCTGCGCCCATGTTGGCACACCTCTCACACGTTTCGTGGCCACAGAGAGCTCCACCGAAAGCGATGCCACAACTCGAGTGTTTCGCCAAGACAATTGTTTTTTGTTGCGTCGTTTCTCTTATGTGTGTTTCAAATCAGCACAGCGCTTACGATTGTTGTTAGCATCTCTGGTATTTGGAGGCCGTGCCCTGGCCTCGGGACCGTTAGAAATTGGCTCGGGGTGTGACGCGGGCCCGGGGAAGTGGTCGAGATCTCTGGGAATCCACGTCAAAAAGTCACGACGTCGCGGAGATCCGGGGAACAGTATGCCTTGCGACGACGACCAGCGACGACGACGGCGATGGCGGCGGCGACTGGCGATGGACGACGGACGACGACGAGGCCAAGGCCTACGTCACCTGTTTCTCCCTCCCAGCCCCGCAGTCATTCATCATCGGCCTCGTCAGCGCTGCCGAGCAGCCGCATGGAGAGTGAGAGGAGGGAGGGAG